AATATCGTGATCAATATTACAAATCGCCCAGATTTTTTTGGAGTTGAAAAACAATCTTATCAGGTAAATTCGTGGCGTAGTCAATTGAAGCATTGCATGATAGATAGACGTTTGTCAAGCGCTATTTGATAAAAATTGTATAAGTGTACACACACAATATTTTAAAAAATGGTGCAATTTGGTGCATTCTAAGCTATTCTTAACATATTGTATGAGCCTATTGCATTTTAGTTCAATAAAATGTAGTTTATTGATGGAAAAAAATTGATTTTCATCAGCGAGGCGGTGTTTTGGACAAATTTCTGTCTGGCAGCTGAGAATTTGAGCGAGGCGGCCCGCCTCGCTCGTGTCAATGCAGGGGAAACACTGTATGTCTACAGTAGTTAGGAAGACACAAATGCTAAACCGATATACATATGTGATTTGCCATGTGATTTGGAAATGTGCCCTCTATACCACTCTACCAACTTATATTATACTATGGCAAGGCTCAAAACTAGCAGTGGCCCGGTGGTCCGGGGCCACCAAAACTTGATGTCGGGCCACCAAAATTTCAAAAAGTTATAATTTGGTGGCCCGATCGGGCCACTGAAAAAAAAAGTTAGTGTGGAGCCTTGACTAGGGACATGTACTATATCATTATGAATTACAGTATGTCATGGTACCGCCCTACCGGTACCTATGTAGCTCTACCAGTGTAGCCACTTGGCTCCTGCTACAGCTCATGCATGTATTGGGAGCGAAGAGGCTACACTAGTAGTGCTAGATGATGATGTAGCACTAGTACTAAATTCAAATTCAAATAAAAAACGTTTCATTGTGCAAAATTAGTAATTCCACATGTAGTTTCACGTTTTAGTAATTGTACAATGGCAAAAATAAAAGAGCAAAAAGTTAGAGTACGTACCCTAACTAACAAAAAAGCACAGAAGCGGTGAAAACCCCGTGTCTGTGTGGTGAAAACGCAGGTCTAACCTTATTTACTACATTTTTTTCTTACCTATGCAGGTAAATGAATCAATATCGAAACGAATAGGCCTACAAACATTAAAGCAATGTTTGTACTTTAACTTATGTTGAATTTAAATTACTCAAATAATGAAATATTACACACTGACTGGTATATGAAAAAATACAAATACGCAAACATGAGTATCATAAATTTATATAATATATACTGCGCGTTGTATGGCAGCGGGCGTGTACGCAGGATTCCTGTACAGGGCGGGTCTAAAGACCGTGAAACCCAAACTTCGAGCACCTGAAGAGAGCCCCCAAGATCAATTTTTTGAAATTAGAACCCCTTAGATGTCGTTTTCTGCCGATGCAGGAGCGGGTAATCCGTCCCTGGACGCGCGCCCACCCCCCCTGTAGGCACCCTCAGGTATGTGAAGGCGCGCAGCGTTGTGCGTCGCTCGATATGTTTGTTCGTGCTGCGTTGCGGCGGCCGTGCGCAGCGTGTTATGTAAGCGTATCCACTGATCTCTATACATATAATCTATCTCTATATTAGATAAAAATGACGTCTCTAAATCATAATATAATATTATATTATATCGACGATCAGTGTGTAACGTCGCTTACAGCTACAAACATTTACTTTGGCGCTTTGGGAATCGCTCTGCTTCAAATCACGAGTTGCTGCTTCCCACTACTAGCCCACCTGTTGTGGCAAGATGCGCGTATAAATATGCTGATTTCGACAAATTGTACCCGAAATAATACGTGTTAAATTGGGCATGAAGAGTATAGCATGCGTTATACAGTGGGAAAGGTAATAGCCCTTATAGGTTGTCCGATTGACACACTCTTTGCTTTTCGGCATTTTGGCAATGCTATGTACCGACTACGGACGGGTGGCGCTGCAACGATACAGCTTCTAACCCCATACAAATTATTGTGAATTCATACTCAGTCAGTAATAGTCATCAGTCATAAGTCATAGTCATAACGATAACACCATCCATTGATACATCAACATCGATGATTACTGATCATCTGCGATAGGAGGTGTTCTCACTAACGTATAGCAGGTAGGGCCCAAGGATTAGAGAACATGCGATCCACAATAAAACCAATCGTGCCAAACCCTAACCCTTTAATTCTAACCGCCTAACCCTAATTCTAACCCTAACCCTAATCATAACCCTAACCCTAACAATAACCCTAACCATAACCCTAAATATTATGATTGCATAAATATTATAGTTTAATATTGATTGTAAATGACATTGTTTTATTGGGACGCGCATGTTTCTTCAGGCTAGCTAGTATAATATACTCTGTATTATATCAAATAGTAATATCATGGCATATTACCATTTTGCGTATTGCTATTCTTTCAATAGTACCAGACTCCATGTGTAAATTTTCATTTATTGGTACAAACGAAGTTGTTTAATCGATTTTGTAGGCCTATTCATCTTCGATATTGATTCAGTACTGCGCAGTAGTAGACGCCAAAAAGAAC